CAAATAAATATGAAACAAAAGTAAAAATGACTACCAACGAGTAATTTATTTATTATAATATTTCTGACAAGTTACTAATAGAATTTCGCAAATTCCATTGTAGGTTGTATGCTAATTAAAAAAAGTATAAATATACTTGTGAATAAACAAGATATATTATAATATCTCTCTGATAAAGCTGAGAGGAAATAGTAAAACATATATAGAATCAGTTTACAATTTTAGTTTCTTCTCTATTACGTTTTTATTATGTGTTATCAAATATCTTAAAATAAAATAACTCCGAATATTTTTAACCATTTACGACTTAAGAAATAATTACATGGAAAGATTAGAATTATGCAATCTATGAATGTAAATACTTTGAAGAAAACAGTGATATGCAGACATAAATATCTTATACATGACTCGAATAATGATTCATATACGATAAACATAATTTAGTTCGCAAGATTACGTCGTAACATATTGTTGAATTGGTTTCAGGTTACATCGAATTCGAGTCAATCACCTCAATTTGATCCTACATGGACGGTGTTGAATCAAGAACATCTTACGTAAGTTAAATGAAAACTTACTACATGTTATTATTTAGACTGTGATATTTCGTTTTATTTACAAATAATAGATTGCGACAAAACTACAAAGGAGAAGAAATGCCGATTGATTCAGAACAAAGGAATGATGGAAATTATTCCATTACCGAACAATTTCCTACACTTGGTAACTGGTTAGCTCAAATGTCGAAAAAACAAACTTCAATAACTAAACCAAAATTACAAACCACAGGAAATGCCCCGTTTGCATCAACGGAAAGCACTACATCTGTAAGAGTAATTTTTTAAATAGAATTAATTAATTCCATTTTGCATAATTATTCTTAAATTTTATTTTATCACGTATTTTATCGTCCCCTAAAATTTTTCAGAGAATTATATTATTAAATAATCTGTATATAATTATATAATTTATTGCAGCAAATTTCTAGACCTGAAATATCAAAGATAATTGGACCTAATATCAATAACCACATGATGAATACAACACCTCAACGTAGTGCAGAAAAATGGCAATACCATCATCAGCAACAACAACTACAACATGTTGCAGCATCCGTGACTCTTTCACAACCTGTTGCTGCTGTTCCACCTTTACGTCCTGGCATATGTTCACCTATTCCTATGACACAATTTTATCCGAATAATTACACTGTAAGTGAAGTTTAATTTTTTCGCCTTGATAAGATTAAAGATATGGTGACCTCGAAAGATACAACGCGCATAAAAATACAAGTATTCCAATTTTTCAAGTAGATTAAGATATTTAGAGGAGAATAATACAATCGAGTGGCAATTAGTGTCGTAGAATCGCATCAAGTTCAAGGTTATTAACAAATATATATTATTTACTATTTTTTAGATTATTTTGGTTATTAGAACTTTTAAGGATTGCCTTAAAAACTTCATGAGATTATTTACTTTCCCTTTGTGAAAATTATTTGTTAATGGTGATAATTTGTTATGAAAATTTACAAAAAACATTTAAATCTTTGTTTTGTCAAAATTCTTACTTTGTTACTCAAAATATATCAATGTGAATATTGTGGATTGATAAATAGTACACTAAAACAATATACCAACATTTATTATGGATAAAAGTCGTAAAAAATAAAATAAGTTACTGGCAAAAGTTAAAAAACGAAGTGATCATTTGCAAATTTTTGTATATTCTTCATCTTCTGAGATACATAAATTAAAATTAAAAATAAGGTAAAGAGATAACATTTTATCAACAAACAATATATTTTTCTTCAAACATTTTGTATAAAGCCTAGTTTTAATTTTAATTTATGTACCTCATTAGATAAAACACGTACAATAATTCGCAAATCATTACTTTGTTTCTCAACTTCTTTCAATAAGCTCATAAAAATATATACATATACTAAACTACAAAAATTTATATACTATAAAAATATATAGTTTTAAATGTCATATTTTTGATTACAGATTGACCCTTACAATGGTTCTACTTTAAATTATCATCCAGCGATTTGTCCTTATGGTACTTATCCGTATCATTCACGATTACATTCAGATTCCTTGCCAGATTATCATTTTCCTATGCAAGAAAGTTTGCGATCAATACAACATATGGATAAACGTTTTACTTCAGTACAAGATCCAATTATAAGATATCCCTCCCCAACGATAAGTACTCTGCAACATCCAAATAATTTGGATTTTGATCGTCTTCGAGGAAACTCTAATACTAACAATATTGGTACCACAACCTGTTTACCATCACTGTTTTTATCACCACCATCTTTATCTTCTTCATATCATTCCTTGCCACGAAGTCCCTTAATTGGCTATCCAACAAATAATCAAGTTTCTCGGAACAGAATGATTCCAGATGTCGTTGCTGCTGCTGCAGCTGCAGCTGTTGTTGCTGCTGCTTCCTTTGATAGGCAACGCGATACTTTAACATACAATAGAGTTGACAAAGATACGTTATCGACCGCTGATATTGCAAATGTAATTGATAAAGAAGCATCTCATGTGCCAGATTCTACCAAATCAATTATTAGTCGCGATGTAATCAATCAAACACAAGATACCAATTTTAACGAAGAAAACCACGAAAGTACGAAATATCAACAAATGCAAAATTTTTTGTTTAATCAATTGGCACTGGTAAAAACAACGGATAATTTTGCACAGACAAATTCAGTTATTAGTAATGATGCTCAAACGACAATGACATCTATTGTTTCAACAACACCATACCGGATACCGTTAATTCCTTCGCACACACAAGTATCAAAAAATGCATCGGGAAATGAACCTAGAAATTGTAAAACACCGCATCTCGGTAAAGTGAACCGCAGTCCAAATAGTTTGCATAATTTTACATGTTCGAATTGTGGTATTATCGGGCCAAAATTCAAGTGCTTAGGATGTGAAATGGCATTTTATTGCGATGAACGATGCCAAGAAAAGCATTGGTATGTTCACGTACAAAAATGTCCAAAAAAGATGCCAAAATTAAAAAAAGTGAATTAGAATTAATCATTCCATAGAATACAAAATATGTTCTATTTCATTTTAAAAACATCATACATATGAAAATTTCAAAATACTGATTTAATACATAAAATATACATTGTATGGAATATAACTTAAATATAAATTCATTATAATCTAATCAGTAATATCATTAAATTATGTTCCAAGAGAACAAAATTATATGTTTTTTTCACAAATTTATTTTTTTCTATTTCATACTATTAACAGTTTCAAATTATACGAATATAAGTAATGACAATAATATTACTTTTATTTGTTTCTATAATTAATTTGCATTCAAAATTTGATATGCACGTACGTACATAATAAATGCAAATATAAACGAAATATAAACATAAAATAAAATATGATTCATCATGACTGTTCTATTGTATCCAGCCTGTTTTATACTTTACATATAATGTAAACCTAGTTTTTATTCATCTTTAAGAAACATTTAATTCACACATACACATGAAGGAACACACAAATGTATAGCAAATAAATAATATTATATTTTGATTATAAAATTATTTGTAATAAGAATAAGGGCCTATTATTAATGATAACTGATAAGAATTTTACAATATTAATAATCTAATTTGACATATCTATTTAATGAAAAGACACTAAAATAGATTGATAGATAACGTGATAATTTGTGCCTTACCATGCAAAACTATATTATTAATTTTTATTTTTATTTAGAAAATATTTCATATATATTTATGAAACAAATAACATAATATTTTATAATTTAAATATATAATTTATTAAATTTTTCAAAAATAAACAAATAAAGTCCATTTCAAAAATTTGAATGAAAATAAATCAATTTTTATTACTGTACAAGGTTCCAATCTTCCTTATCTTAACTTTAAATAAATATTATTCAATAACAGCCAAATACAAAATATTCATTTGCATGTTTATTTTAATAAATATTTTAATATTTATTATGAAATGTTCAAAGAAATTGTTGATTTACTGAAACAATTCAATTCACATGAAAGATATAACCTTTTGTGCAAACTTTATTAGCACATTTTGTAGTTAAAAATAAAATCAAGATTTCATATAAATACAAATCTATAAATATTTTGTCAAAATAATATAATAGAAAAAATACTAAATTTGAAGAAAATAATGGTTTTGAATAGTTTAGTGTAGTTCAAAATAAGAATACCTACATATTTATGTTATATATTAATGTATATCTAAATAGTTTGAATTAATATTCTAATTGATGGGTAAATTTAATATTGTATTGATGTTATTCTATATATATTCATGTATTTTTATATTTATATATAAAGCTATCGATACAAGAAAAACATCACTTTACTATTAAATTTATTCAATAAATGAAATACATTATCCATCTTTTAATATATTTTACATATTATATTTGTAACATAGATGTATTTTAAACCAAAACCAGTCCATGTGCAAATTTACAAAAGTATACATTATTTAATGTGTATTTTTGATTATTTTACTTGTATTTTTGAATTAAGATAAAAATTTGGAAGACTACAAATTTGTAAAACATCTTCAACTATCAATTATAAATAATCAATTATGAGGAAGAAAGAAATATAAAAAGAAAATCTAACTGATAGTATAAAACTATAGAAAAATGAAAATTTTGTGAATATGTATATTTAGAGTTTCATTTTTGGTCAGTATAGCTATACATGCAATGTTTATTTTATTTCATGAACTTAAACACATATATATGTAAGAATTTTGATTGTCATGTCTATAATATGTTTGTAAAAAATTATATTACATTTGACAACCAATCTTCCTTATCTTAACTTTAAATAAATATTATTCAATAACAGCCAAATACAAAATATTCATTTGCATGTTTATTTTAATAAATATTTTAATATTTATTATGAAATGTTCAAAGAAATTGTTGATTTACTGAAACAATTCAATTCACATGAAAGATATAACCTTTTGTGCAAACTTTATTAGCACATTTTGTAGTTAAAAATAAAATCAAGATTTCATATAAATACAAATCTATAAATATTTTGTCAAAATAATATAATAGAAAAAATACTAAATTTGAAGAAAATAATGGTTTTGAATAGTTTAGTGTAGTTCAAAATAAGAATACCTACATATTTATGTTATATATTAATGTATATCTAAATAGTTTGAATTAATATTCTAATTGATGGGTAAATTTAATATTGTATTGATGTTATTCTATATATATTCATGTATTTTTATATTTATATATAAAGCTATCGATACAAGAAAAACATCACTTTACTATTAAATTTATTCAATAAATGAAATACATTATCCATCTTTTAATATATTTTACATATTATATTTGTAACATAGATGTATTTTAAACCAAAACCAGTCCATGTGCAAATTTACAAAAGTATACATTATTTAATGTGTATTTTTGATTATTTTACTTGTATTTTTGAATTAAGATAAAAATTTGGAAGACTACAAATTTGTAAAACATCTTCAACTATCAATTATAAATAATCAATTATGAGGAAGAAAGAAATATAAAAAGAAAATCTAACTGATAGTATAAAACTATAGAAAAATGAAAATTTTGTGAATATGTATATTTAGAGTTTCATTTTTGGTCAGTATAGCTATACATGCAATGTTTATTTTATTTCATGAACTTAAACACATATATATGTAAGAATTTTGATTGTCATGTCTATAATATGTTTGTAAAAAATTATATTACATTTGACAGAGAAAAAAGTGCTAAAAAATTACAGTTTATCTGTGCATTTAACAATAAACTTTATAATATTGCTTAAAATTCTAATATCTATTAATATTTAAACAAGGATCCTGATATGAAATGTGTCCTCATTTCATGTACTACAAATATTCAACAATAAAAATAATATATATTTATTTAACAATATTTTTTAATATAACATTAACAGGCAATAAGATTAGTATATTATTCTGTATTAACACAGTATGATAAACACTGTTCCATGAGTGTTCACTTGATATATATTTAATACAAGAACTTTTTAATCGCATTCCTTTTTTTTTTTTTCTTTAGATTTTTTAACCTCTAAACTATCTAAATATTACAAATAAAAGTGTATTATTTTGTAAAAACATATATAAAAAATGTAAAGTATCTTTAATTTTTAAATGTATACTGTTCAAATATATAAATTCAAAAGTGTATGATTATTAAAACTTGCTTTTTAATGCATCTTGTTCTGTTTTACTTGTAAGTTTGTTTAAAAGTACATGAGCTTCTTGATAATAAGGGCTTGTTTCATTTGCAACCCTTTTCATCCATGCAGCAACACGAGGCCTATCCTTATGTGGATTATAGCCAACTATTCCTGCAATTGAAAATTGCACTTTTTCTATTTAAATATTATTTAAAGAAAAGGTAGGTTTTTATGATAATATAATGGTTTTTATTACTTTTATTATTATTTATCATAGTTATGATAATGTTTTATTCAATTTTAAGAATGGACTAAATGTATTGTCAAACAATGAAATTAAAATAGTATGACTTATAACAAAATAGATTTTATTTTTAGTGTTTCCTGCTTGGCTTATAATATAAATAATATAGATATATTAATATTTATTAAAGCTATAAAATAATTAAATATTATCTGGTGAGATCTTCTTCACGTTATATATACTTTAATTTTATTTTTAATAAATTTACATATCATTACTTACGAACTTGTTCTACTTCACATGATGCAAGAATATCAGCAATGCTGATTTTGGAACCAGATAAGAATGTTCTGTCTTTTAACCAAACATTTTCAAGAGCATCAAGTGCCTCAATCATACGATTCTTATATTTTATTACCTTTCCCTGCTCTGGTAATTTACCAGTTAATTTTGGTATCAAATACTTAAACAAAAATACAATATTTAATACAAATACTAATATAATATGTATGTACTTAAACTATTATAAATAATTATACCTTGACAATAAAATACAAAGAACAATGAAGTCTAACATTAAGATGTTGCCATTCAAGATATTCATCAACCTTAAGTTGAAGTTCTGATTCTTTAGGATACCAATGATCAATTACTTTAAATTCTCTACAGATATATCTCAAAATTGCAATGCTATAAAAAATATTTTAGTTTTAAATTTTTCATAAATTAAATTGTGATATGTCATTCTAGATATTATAATTTATATATTTTCTTACTTATAACTTAGATTATTAATATTTTTAACCAAAATAAAATTTTGTATTGCATTAGTTATTTATATTTTCCTAAAAACTGAAACTAAAATTTATCAAAAGATATTAATAATATTTGAAATTTTAATTTAAGTTATTAATTTTTAAATATTAAATACAATTTATTTCTTTCACAAAATATAAAATAAAACATTACATTTATAATAAATTAATGTTTATATTTTATTGAGAATTTCTTATTTATGTAAATTATAAAGAATATAAAATAATTATACCTTTCAATCATATTACATCCATTATGTTCAATTGCAGGCACTTTCTGAAATGGATGAATCTTTTGGTACTCTGATGTAAGGTGTTCACCTTTTGCCAAATTTATCAATTTTGCTTCAAATGGAATATTACAAACTTTAAAAAATATATAAAGAGCTCTACTTGGTTGCGATAATAAATCATAGTATAATTTTAAGCTCATGATTTGTGAAAATAAATTAAATCTATAAAAATAAATATTATATGAACAATATTATGTAATTAAATAAAAAATTTCTTAAAACAAAATATAACTTAAAATATAATTTAAAATATATCCAAAAATAAAAAAGATTTACATAAAATAATATTAAAAATATTGTTTTTGTATTGTTTATGACTTGTACTGAAACTTAAAAAGTTTCAATTATATATTATGTATATGGTTAAATAATGTGATTAAACAATCAAACAATATGTATACAAATAAACAGGGAACAAAATAATATGTATATAAATTATGAATAAATGATATTTATTGTTATTTGATACATTTAATACATAAAACTACAAGGTTTTACTCAAAATATGTATTATCAATGAATTCTTTGCAATAATTATATTTTGGGTTATGATATCATTATTTTTTTCTAGTCGTCTCTACTACATTTATTACATTTATATATACTTTAAATTTAATAGCATATTATTTTTAATATTTCCAGTTATTAAAATTCTTGTCAATTGGTTTAAAAAAGTCTTCGCTAATATAAAATAAATATTGTAAGTATTATTACTCAATGTTACGATAACTCTAGCGATATACTTGGACAATAAATTTATAATTTCAATTATAATTGTCTAATAAATTGTGTAATAAATATACATTAAATATCAAAACACTTTTTTATCGCTCTTTATTAATTAAATATTTAAATTATATAATACTTATAATTATATATTTTTTTTTGTGAAATATATTATTGATAATACATTTTTATATATTGATATAATAATGTACATCTAGAATTCTGTATTTCTTTTAATAACTAAATTTTGTTATATAAGGTGACATATTAAACATATAAAACAATTTTATAAATATTCAATTTTAACAAAATACTATTTAAGTTATCTGATTTATCTGTTTTAAATTTATATATTATGAACTTACTTGTTTTGATAAAGAAATGAATAATGCCACTATTTTACTTTCGATTGTTTGTGCTTGTTTATCAATAGATTAATTTCTTTAGAAATTCATACTTATTCTAGACTGTAAGAGTATCTTATAATGATAACGATTTATCTTTTTAAGATTGCAAAATTTCAAATCAAGAAAGATGATCGGATTTATCTTTCGTTTAATGTGACGACACGTTCATTCGCGGAATGAGTGACAAATGAGATGCATTAAGAAAAAAGTAGAAATTGACGAAAGAATTTTAAAGATTAGAACTTTATAAATAAGAAGCAAGTGGAAGTATCACCCGGTGCAGAAAATGGCTGACTGCGAGAAGGAGGAGGCTCACAATCTCGTAAGCTATTTGCCTTTGCCTACCGTTTATCTAATCACTTAGGCGACCTCGTCGTCTCACAGTTCGCGATGATAGTGTACCTTATCTATCGTCGAACTAATCAATTTACTCTTGCTGTTCTTGTTGAAATAAGTTCTTTGTGGTTATGTTCTCATCAATAGATAAATTTAATATCTCATTTATTTCTAATTTATATGTTCAAATGTACAATTTGATAGCTTTATTTTAAAAATTCATAAATAATATACATAAATGTGGAACAATGTTTATTTTTTCACAACATATCTGATTTCATTATTTAAAAATATTCATTCAAAGTAGGTTTATTATTTAGTGAATGTAGATTCCATATTTATATATAAAAGTAATTTATCATTTGGAAATTAATGTAGTATCTGGTCTATTTGAATAATTATAAAACATTTGAATTTATAATATAAAATATTAATAAAATTTTTCAGTTTTAGTCATTAATTTAATTATTGCGTACAGAAATAGTATAATAGTTTATTCATTTATATTTAATTAAACTAAGTAAGATAAAAATATTTTGTTTTCATCTTTCATTAATTTTATAAAATCTAAGTTATTTATATATTATTATTTTAATATAAAAAGGCAAATATGTGTACGAATAGTATCTAAGAAGAAATATATATAAGTACCGTATTAAACTGTCTTATAAATAACAATTCTACATTGAATATTTGAAATTTATTTTGATATTTTATAATTAATAAATAAGTAGAAAGTTATAATTAAATATCTTTTATTTATTTAATGCTCACTTGTACATAGATTAATATTGATACTTATTAAATTGATATTTGCATTATATGAAGAGATTTATATTTAATTATGTAATTTTTCAGCAAATGGAGTTTGAATGGCTGCTTCATGAAGAAGTTCATTCTTCATTATCACAACTAAGAAATATTTTAATGGTATATTATATATAGAGAGACATATATAATTATGAACTTATTAATAAAACAAGTAAAAAGGTTTTTGCTATATTTTATATTACAGGAATGTGCACAAAAATTTCCATTAGCGTTATTTGGTAATGATCAACATAATAAAACAGATAGGTTTGTATTTGCTGCACCACATGACCAAGTAAAATGTATAGCTGTTTTAACTGGTGACAGTATCACAAATGCAGTAAGTATTAATAATTTAAAAAATTCCTAATTATATGATTATCTAACAGGAATATGATTGTAGGAAGTTAACTTTAAAGTACAACGTCAGCAAAACATTAACATGAAGACAAGTATACAAACTGAACATCCTTGGAAGTTGCAGCAGATACAAGATGCTGCTAATCATTTACAGCAAGCTATTGCTCATATAGATAATGTTGATCGTCACTATCCTTTTAAGACATCTGATGAAATTATGCATGTATTAAGAAACATACTTGGTTGCCTTCAACGCAGTCGAACAAGTCTAATTGTTCCTAGAAAAAAGACCATTGATGACCTCATTAAAAGTCGTAATATGGTAAGCGAATGTTTCTCATTAACATTAAATGTATAGTAAACCTTTACAGTTGGACTTCATATTATATTTTATTATACCTATTTCAATTTTAAAAAGTTTGTGTAAAATGTAGTCCTTTACCCTATTTCATATATAATAATATTTTTGAAAATAGGTAAAAATAAATAGATTATAAAGTAACCTCAAAAATGATAGCACAGTGAAGCAATTTAAGAAAAGAAAAGAAAATATTATTTCTATTGTAAAGGGTTGTCATATCATTTAATATATTAATTTTAATTATAATATATTCTCTTAATTTAATTTATACTTTTATAATTTTTATTTCTCTAATTGCAGAAATCATTAAATCCTAATCTTCCAGAAAATTTGGCTATTAGTTTTTATATTCAAAGTTATAAATTAGTTTTAGCAATATATCAGTTAGAAAATGCACATGGTAGTGTAAAGTATGAAACACAACAAGCAGAATGCAGTGTTCCATGGCTAAATAATGCTTTAGTATTGCTTACTATAGCATTACAACTTTGTCAACGATTAAAAGACAAGGTTAGTTTGATTAATACTGGTCTAAATTTCTTTATCTTATTTGAAATATTTTTCAGATTTGTGTTTTTTCTCAATATAAAGATTTTACAGTTGGTTCACATGTTCCTTCTACAGTGAGTTGGTAATAAAAATATATTTGAGTATTCAAATAATCTTTAGTTGAAAAAATAATCTTGTACATCTATACTACAGTACACCACATTTAATGCTCTGGTAGCATTTTTAGTGAATTTTGTTTTTACAAACAAAATTTGGTTTTAAAAACATACCTTAAACTATATACATTTAGTTTTGAAAACATACCCTAAATAATTTCAGAAATAATTTTTTTGAATCATATGTATATTTTCTTTGATATACTGTATCATTGTTGGAAATTACATTTTACATAGCAAGTTTTAAACAAGAGAAATTCTTGTATATTAGTACAAGATCTGAGACTTTATTGTCGTTCATGATTTTAAAAGTATTTTGTCAATTAAGTATGTGCCTATATCTATTAAATTGTGTTATATTTTCTTTGATGATAATCTTTGATTTTGTGTAGAAAGCTCTGATTTATCTAAAAATAGTCATAAATTCTTACTAAATTAATGAATGAAATAGTTAAGTACTATGTTTACTATACCTCCTGTGATTTTCCGGAATGTTATAATAATTCCCTTTTTATTAAATTGTAATATTCTACTTCTAAACGAATGTATGTGAGTCTAAAACTCTTAATTTTAATTATTTTACATATCCAATTATTATTTAAAACATTTTAATGAATTATTTATTTTACTTACCAAAGAAAATACTATTTAGTAAATGTTGACGTACATTACCGTGGTATGACGTTCCTTTCACCATATTGTATCTATATATTTACATACAGATATTTGAATTTAGCATTACAATAATCACAAACTAGATGTTAATATAATTGTTACCGATCGATGTTCGTTAATGATCGTTATTGTTATTTATACATGTAGCTCAAAAATAGCAATTTATAAAGATTTCAATACATTTTTATCAAATAATTAGAATTGACTTAGTATAATAACATTAAAAATACATAATTTTAATATTCAAATTCATTTTTTATTGAGTTAAATGGAAAGCTTTTACTTCATATTTCTTATCTATATATGCTTTCGCTCATTCAATATAATAATTTTTGTATATTCTTTTTAATTTGAGATATTCTTAAATTCATATGTAAATATTATATATATGTCTTTAAGTAATACCCTATAGATTTCATAAGTTTTATTTACACCTAATTTTTGTCACAACTTTATATTTCTCAGTTTTCTCAGTTTTACTCAGTTTTACTCTCAGTATGTATAGTTAGTATACATACAAGGATTGACTATAAGCAAATTAAGCAAATTAAGCAAACTAAATTAATTTACTTTCCATGTAACTCAATAAAAAAACAGTAATCTTGGATTATTCTTATATTTATGTATTTGAATTCTTTTCTACATTAACAAATCAAAGTAATTATTGTTTTATGAATTGAATTTAAGTACCTTAATTATAAAATGTAAAGATTTTTCCCTAAAATGCAAAGTTTGTTTTTGGAACAACTAATTAAAGTTTATAAATTCTTATAGATATATTACTCAACAAGCCACAAATTGAATATATTTACTTTATTTTAATTACTTACATATTTAAAATATCAAATTTACAAGTGCTGTGGTTTAGATATTAAAAATTTGCAATTTCCTTTTATACATTATATTTCTTTAAATTTTTATTATTATGTTCTGTACTTATACATTACATTATATTAATATTATTTTGTAAATTATATTTTGTTTATAATTACTTGTTATATTAAATATCTTGTATGAAATACAAAAGAGTACTTAAATGGTAATCATAAAATGATTCAATGCATTATATTATTTATTTTCTTTAATTTGCATTTTATAAATATGAAAATATTAATGATATGAAATTCATATAGGTTAGAATTTATGTTATAGTTGTTTATAAAAATAAAAATGAAATTAGCAAATTTAATTGCTTTTTCATATAAATGTTGTATTTGAAAAAAGTAATAATATATCTATCTGTCATTTTAAATACCTTAAAATTAAAAGTAATAATAAACTAATGTCTAGAAAAAACAAAATGTTAAAAATTACACTATATATTGTTCTTATTGCAGGGTATCAACCATTTGCATAATTACTAATATTTATACATTTTTAATGTTTATGAAATTTTAATAAATACCAAAAATGACTAAATAATGATATAATAGAATAGAGCAGTCTGATTAAAAAAAAATACACAGTTACTACATAGTAAATATAGTTAATACATAGTCAATATATATTGTAGTTAAAACAAATCTTTACATATTATATTGTAACCAGTGCTATTTTTCTTAAAAAAGTATGTATTACACTTATGTAACTTATAAAATTACCCAGAAAACTTTAAGTAACATTAAAAATTCATTTTAGTACACTACAAATAAATAATTATTTTATGATTCAATAATAAATATTTTCTTATTATGAAATATTTAATATTTCTTATTGTCATACTATAATTCTAAAGAATTGAATGTAAACTTTTTACATTTATATCTATTTAAGAAAAAGAGCACAATTTTTTCGTATTAATGAAAAAATTTGTCCCACATTTAGATAAATTTTGTTAATTTTATCAAAAAATAAAATTATCAAAATTCGTATTAGAAGAATGTAAATATGTTTCTTTATATTATATCGATATGTCCAAAAATAAAGTTATTAGTGAGAAACTTCAGTTCATTGTTTTTATTTTTCAATGAATTACAATAATGAAAATTAATAATCTATGATAAAGTCTATTCTATGGTAAAATATTTGTAAAAAATAAATAATTTTTTTATTCAAGTTTAATTATTTAATAAATATGTGAATTGATAAATATTTTTATGAAAATAATAAATATATTAAAATTAATTAATATTTTTATGATTTATTTTAATATAATATACCATTAAAATATCAAAATATCATTCTTAAATATTTGTTATTTGTTACTTGTTAATTAAAGTTTTTAAAAATATGTATATTAAAATTACGAAGATAAAAAAATATATATAAGGAATCTTTTTTAGTATTGAAAAAATAATTAATTATAAAATTATAATGTATTAAAATTATATAAAATAAAAATTTATGTTATTTGTTAACATAATAATAACTATAGCCAAATATTAAATTGACCATAAGTTAATTATTGGTATTGATTAACTCCTTTAAACATGTTCTTATATTTCAATTAATCTTATAGTTACTTAATTATAGAAAGTTCAAAAAAAAATAAAGCGCCTGCGCAACTGAACTTATTAGTTATATGCAATCAAGTTTATATATGTATTAGGCTTAAATGACGTGTGCGCAACAATTCGCGCCAGGAATAATGACAGCAGACGACAGTTTACCCGATACACATCGTATCATTAAGAAAATGCATTACAATTTCTTTATTAAATTACGTGTTGTTACGTTACCACATTAAAATCACAAATGAGAAAGAACTGTAGTACTTGAACATATCTTTAATGCTCATAACGACAAATTATTCGTGAAAGTATCGAACGTCTGCAAAAAGGAACACAACATGGAAGTACTAGATTCTAGTGTTTCGAGAGACGACCAGCCTTTGTGTATCAATGATTCTTTAGAGCAGGGTTTGTTTTTGATATTTTGCTATTATATTAATCAAATAATTTGCCTTTCTTCGCATAGAAATATTTCATCTTTAACGGTTGTATTTATTACCGTTTTTTGAATAGTGTAGGAAAGCATTGTTTGGAAACAAAGCATTGACAAAGCAACACATGAGCTCTCCACAATATTTTCAGCTGTCAGTTTCTTAATATATTTTGTGATTGATTAAAAACATTTCAAATCTATTTTAATGGTTATTTTACGCCTAAAAATTTATTAGTCATGTCTTGGAATTTTATTTATTTCAATATTATGTAATATAAATAACAATTTTACAATTATAAGAACATATATATAGTAAAAGTAAATAATAACAGATGTCAAGAAAAAAAAAGAACCAGAAATTGTATAAGAAATTATCAGAAGATGCACCAGGTTAACTCAAATCAATATTATATATTATTAGAAATTGAGCTAAATTTTAGTATTTAAAAGAGTAAGGAAAAAGATGAAAATTTGTAATATTTAAAGAATTTAATGCTATTACAAGTATGTTAGCAAATAATTCTTGAATTCAAATTTTAATATAAATATGTGTCACTTATTATTCTTCAGAAAATATATAGAATTATAATGTAATTAATTGTTAATTATAAAAAATTATATATAAAACTTGAATTAATAATTATGGAGAAAACAATCAGAATAATTTTTTTCATAAAATCTATAGACGCATTTAGTATAATTACTATATAAATATCAATTCATTATAAAGTAATCAAACATTTATGAATGAATATATAAAAATATAAATTTTTCTATATTATCTAAATTATTCCATCTAATTATAAAATTTTATTTTTAGTTATTGTAAGAGACGTATTGTCTGATACAAAATCATGCATAAAAGCAAGGCATACATTAGGTTTCTTAGGATTTCTAGGATTTGCACTTGTGTATGCCATGAGAGTGAATCTGTCTATAGCTATTGTTTCAATGGTTAATCAAACAGCAATACCACATAGTGATGACAATGATACCACAGATATTTGTCATAATGAAAACCCAATTAATGGAACATTTATACCAGTAAGTTATTTTATGGTTTTTTATTATTTATACCAATATTATTTATAATGTTCTAACATAATACAACAAATAGTTTTTTATTCGTGTTAACATTAGGATTCTTCCTATATATGATATAAATAATAAATTAAATAATTACTAAAAACATATTACACATTTTGCAATAAATATTAAGCTACAGCTTGTAATCTAATATATTCTACATGTACAATATTGATGCAGATCAAATGTCAACATTAGTTTTGTCTCCATTATCATATTACTCATGCAAATTTATCACTTTTAGTATGATCTAAACACATAGGCATGTTTGTTAACGCCTACATCCTTTGGTTTTATCTTATTATATATATATGAGTTCTTTAAATGTTTAGTTAAAACATTTTAACCTTGTGTTTGTATATATTTTGAAAACAATTTTTATTTTCAATTACATAACATTTTTTATATATAATTTTAAATTATCATTAAATCTTAATAAAAATAATTTATTGGTTCTACAAAGTGATTCTCAATAAATTTTCAAAGAGTGCAGGAGAATTTAATTGGGATGAAAAGACACAAGGTGTTATATTAGGTGCTTTTTTCATCGGTTATGTATCTACAAATGTACCAGGTGGTAGAATGGCAGAAAAATTTGGTGGAAAGTTAATATATGGATTAGGAGTATTTTTGACTGCTGTATTGACTGTAATTAGTCCTTTTGCAGCATATATAGGATTAGTACCATTTGTAGCTGTACGAGTAGCCGAAGGATTTACAGAGGTAATATTTCTTTCTGTGAGTTTATACGTTTGAAAAAAGTGTTTAAAGAATTTTCCATCATTTTATAAATAGGGTGTTACATTCCCTGCCATGCATAATATGTTAGCACACTGGGTACCACCTTTAGAAAGAAACAAATTTGCTGCTATGGTATATGCAGGTAATTATTTTTGCAATATACAATAAATTTGATGTATCATATTAACTTCTATACAGGTTCAAATGTAGGAACTGTTATATCCCTACCAATAAGTGCATGGCTTTGTTCATTAGAATTTTGGGGTGGATGGCCTCTTGCATTTTATTTATTTGGAGGGCTTGGTATTGTATGGTATGCATTTTGGCTAATATATGTGTTTGATACACCTGCACAACATAAAAAAATTGATCCTCTTGAAAGAGCATACATAGAGGCTACTGTTGAGAAGAAGGCAGAGGTTTATTTCAATCTTATTACATTGAATTTGTATTTCTATTATATTGAATAAAATTTAATTGAATTTATTTTAAAAATAGGTCAATGATCCAGGTGTTCCTTGGTTATCAATATTTACATCATTGCCCATGTGGGCTATAACTATTACACAATGTGGACAATCATGGGCATTTTATACACTTTTGACAGAATTACCAACATATATGGATAAGATTTTGCATTTTGATGTACAAAAGAATGCATACTTAGCAGCGTTGCCTTATTTAAGTTCTTGGTTAGTCGGACTTGCTATTTCAAGTTTCGCAGATGCCCTCCTTGCCTATCAGCTTTTATCTCCATTAACATCATTCAAGTTATGGAATACAGTGGCTTCATTAGGACCCAGTCTCAGTTTTATTGGTGCTATTTGGGCTGAGTGTGATGCTGTAACAGTTATGATGATGCTCACTGTATTAGGATCTTTACAAGGCGCAGTTTACTCAGCAAATCAGATGAATCATATTGCTTTGGCACCACAATATGCAGGAACTCTTTATGGACTTACAAATGCAGCAGCAAATATTTGTGGATTTTTAGCTCCATATATTATTGGAAGTCTAATTCAAGGACATGTTAGTATAATTTATATATATGTATTAATGAATGATTTTATTACAAAGAAAAAGCTCTGTAACTTTTTAATATTTATGTTTCAGGAAACACTAGCACGTTGGCATACAGTATTTTGGTTGGCAGCAGGGAATGACAAAATTTCGTTAGACACGAAATATTTAATATGAAAAATAATTTAGATCAAATTGTGCTCAGTTTATTTTACTTAATATTTACCACTTCCGTCATTTAGGCACAAAGCTTCTTTTTCAATTCCAAGTTTGGTATATTAACAAATTCTTATTGAATGAAATATATAATTCTTGGAGAATTTTTTAAACATAAAATTTTGTTGCATCAGTATTAGATATTATGTTTATGAAGTTTAGATACTGAACTTTATCATTCCAATGAAGTTATTCATATGACAATATAACTTTTTAATGTTTTACATAATTTTTAATGTTTAATTTCATTTAATAATAATAATTTAACTAGATTTAGAAAAAAATGAATACGATCTAAAATCTGTGAGTAATTTAATTTACCTTAATTTTACTGTAATGAAATGTAAGCTACTACAAATATTTTTTACATTTATGAAATGAAAAATATGAGAGTATATATATTCTTGTTTGTAATTAAGAATTTTATATATACCTAAAAGCGATCGTTTAAAACTAATTGGTATAGTACAGGGTCTACTAACTTTTAAACAAAGAATTTTTTATTTTATGATTACAATAAATAATAAACACACGTAGTTTTTGTGCATTTGAAATCTCATTTTATGCGAATATAGTCTATATTTCTCGTGATAGTAGATAATAATAAAATATATAAATTTACAATAAAGAACAAATTTCTTTATAAAAAACATGAAAATATTAACAGAAGTAATACTTGATTAAGTAAAATCATTATCTTATTATAATTTTCAGAATATTATAATAATTCAGTAATTTATATATTATTACTTTGTTTAAAACAAGAAATAAAATTTTAAATAAATATTAAATCTAACATTTACTTGCACATATTGTGGTAAAGAATTGTGATTACTATGAAGAATGTATAGAATATGATACTATTTAAATGAAAATAAATTTATTATTATTTGCTATTGTTTTAACAGTTTAAATAATTTTTTGATAATGAGTATTTGTTTTGAAGCAAAATCAATCTACATATCAATTTACATACATATATATCAATTTAGTATATGTAAATTAAATTAATTATATTATTACAGTTGCTCAAAGAATTATATTTGAATTATGAATGATTTATGGAAATTATTTGATATAGATGTTTACATAAAGAATATTTAACTAAAAAGGAAAAAGTAAACAGTATATGCAACACACGTGTACATAATAAATGAAAAAAAAAAATAACCATAACTAATTTATGTAAATGTTGATTTCTGTACGTTTACTTCCTTATCTTTCTTTATATTAAAAGATAATTACATAAATTGCTCGTAAAAGTAACTAAAGATTAAATCATTCAGTTTAATTAAACCATTAATAGAGAATGGCAAGGTAACTCATTGGGATATGCTTCTGTAACGAAAATGACGAGTGAACTCATTGCAGATATATGAAGATAACGTATGTAAACTTAAATCTAATAAATCATTTATTTTTTATTATTGTAATTAATGTTGAAAGCGCTAATATTGTTCTCATTTACTACCGGTATGATGAGTTAACTCAGTTAGTAGGTTAGAAGTATATTATATATCTTAGGTTACTGATAGAAATGTAAAATTATATTTAAATAATGATAATAAAAAGCAAAATTATATTTACAAAATAAACCATGTAATTGGTATTCTAATGTACGTGCTGGTACACATCGTTTATTTTTCAATAACTTATATTAAAAATATAAGAAAAATATATCAATAAGAATGAAATTTTGATAATTTGAAAATAAGTTTTATAACAAAAATACAATATTAGCTTGTACTTAAATCTTCTTTTTTTTTAGCAGTAAGTTCGAAAATCATATCTCGCATACGGCTTAGATTCATCAATTCTGCTTTCATTTTTTTTATTGTTTCCTCTTTTTCAGCAATGTTCTTTTCATATGTATGCACTAATTGTAATAATTGTTGAGTTTCTTGTTTCAATGCAGATATATCTTTTTGATTAGATTGAATTTCTGTAGTTTTTAATTCTATCACCTGTTTAATATCAAATATATATTAATAATTTTATTATAATAATTATATATTATTATATCAAATATATATTAGTAATTTTATTATAATAATTATATATACGTACTTGATCTTTCTTGTTTAATTGATCCTGCATTTTGTGAAGTAGTTTACTCAGTTCATGATTTTTATTAGCCATTTCCATAGTTTTTGCATCTGCATTTACACATTCAACTTCTAATTCTTTTATTTTTTTAGTTAAAGCTTCAATTCTGTTAATACTACTTTCCAATTCATGTTTATGTTGCATTAGCAATATATTTAAATGGTCAATATTAGTAGATTTTTCTGTTACTATCTTTTTTAATCCTTCAATTTCCTACAAATACATTTTTTTTTATATTTTAGTTATGAGTTTAACTTTTATTTTATAAGTTTACTATAAATAGTATTAACCTGTTTTTTTATAGCAATTGCTTTTTTATTTTGTTCTTCTGCTTCAGCAAGCTTTACAGTTAATGTAGATTTTACTCCTTCTAAACACTGTTGGGTATCGAACAACATCTGATGTAAACGACTTGATTCAGCTACTACTTGTGCCAACCTATGTTGTAAACTAGTTCCGTGATTGTTTGCAGCTTCTAAACTAGACTGCATTGCCCGTTCTGCGTGTCTCATGGCTGCTAGCTTTTATGTTATAAAAATATAATAAACAATAAACTGCAAAAATGGGTTATAAAAATGACATACCTTATATTCATACAATTCCATTACTGCAGATGTGGTAATGTCATTGATTTGGTTTGATTCATATGTTCGTTTTAATTTTGCTAAAAATGCATCAAGTCGTTCTTCTTGAGCAAAGGAAAACAGTGGAGCCATTTCACTATTTGTATTTATGGACATTTTATTTCCAATATTTGATTCCATACCAGAAGTACTTTGTATCAATATCAAAGGTTCCAGTTGCTTCATACAAAGCGCCACCGCAGAAACACTTGTCACACAAAAACATGGGATACAATTTGCGTGTGATAGTGAATTTGTCTAAAGTTGTTATTAATAAAAATTAAAATAATTTGTTGCCAAAGTATTTCATTTTTATAGTGAAGATACAATGTTTCATTTGTGTGACAGTATCTGTTAAAATCTTCATATTCTGCTGAACAACCAAAAGATATTAAACTGAAACTTACGATTCTTGTGGAAATCCAACAGTAGATGTCAACTGTAAAACTTTTTGTTTAACATCTGTGTCACCAGCAAATAGTGCATGTGCCATTGTCATTTGAATTTGCTTTTTTGTAAGCAACTCAGAATATAATGTTAACCATTGTGAATTGTGAGCTGCTAAATCAGCAGTCAAAGCTAATGCATGAATACATAAGTTTGTAGTAGGATTCTAAAAAAAATGAGAAGTGATACTATGTTCATCAAACAATTATAACTATTTTAAAAATTAATAATACGGTACTTGATTAAAATTCCCTGACCAATTACCAGCAGCACATATTTCTGAATCTAGCATTGGGCTTAATAATTTACGTATCATTTGTTCATTCAAAGACTGCATTACTTTTGTTCTAAGTGTAGAAGTTTTAACCATTTCTTGAAATAATTGCATTAATTCAGCTAATTTTGTTTCCATTTCTAATGTTAATTCATGTTTTCCTTGAAGTTCATCATTTTCTGAATTTATTATAAGCATTAAGACTGAAGCATCTAATTCTGCCAACACTTCAGAGGATGATTTAGTATGACGTGCATCAATTACTGTAACTCTTATCAAAGCTAGTGCTTTTGAACATACCTGATTAAAAGAGAATTAATAAAGTTTGCTACATATTTTTTTGTATATAAAATGAAGACATACCTGTTCTACAGGAACCCAAGTCATAGCAGTTTTTACACATAAAGGATATAAAGGTATTAAAGAAGATAATTTTAATTTTACTAAGGATGACAAAAATTCCATGATGAGAGCAACACATTCTGGATCTCCATTATTTTCTAATGTAGCCAATACATTTTCTACATCTCTATCATAACTAATTAGCACAATAAAATATTAAACAACATTTTATATCAAATAATATAAAAATAAATTAATAAAATAACTTACTGTGGGTATGTAAGTAACACAGTATGAGAATGTTCTTTTTGTCCAACATCATCAAAGAAGTCTATGATATGTCTTAGTAACAAAACATCTTTTTGTTTCATTGCAGTGATAAGACTGCTGAATGTGATGGCAGCAAAATCCAAAATATATTTTTCAGAAATATTTGTATTTGTATGTTCTAATATAATTAAAAGTTTACAGCACTGTACACTAGTATTAACACTACAATGTTGTAGTTTTAATAAAGTTCGTATAAATGCTTTTGTATCAATAGTTCTCATTAGTATATATACAGCTGGAAGATTTTTATAACAAAGATTTACTAGTACACCTAAAGAAAGTGCAATAATGTTTTCTTCTTTAGACTGTGTCACCCATTGTGTTAATATTGATACCAAATAAGGTAAATGAGCTTCTTGCCAAGAAATTTTTATGCCATATGTCAGTTCTTGAAGTAATTTTAATACTCGTATTCGCTTTTCACTTGTTAAATTTGCCTATGTTTTAACAAACTGTTATACAAAAATATAGGACATGCAAATGTTAAAGTGTTACAATGTTTGTTTAGAATTTCAATATGATACAAGTTCATACATATTAGAAAATATTTCAATTATTAAATTTGGAAATTTCATTAAAAAAGGAAAATAAATGTATTTCTTCAGCTTTTAAATGACATTCTTATGTTGTATTTATTTATTATTTTAAACAAATGAAAATATATACCTCTAATAATCTTGCCAATATAGGTGCAAACTTATATGTATGAATGAGAGCTTGTCTTGCAGCAGCATTATGACAAGCATTTTGTAAAACGTCAACAGTACTCCAAATCAAAGTGGTTCTAGAAGCTAAAGAATTCATAAGCTCATGCAGACTAACATAGAATTCTGCTGCTATGCTGGTTCCAGGGTCAAATATGCTCAAATCTAATGATACACTTATTACCTTTAAAATATAATTTTTTATTTTAAATAATATATGCTGAATAATGTGTTAAAACATTTATTAGAATTTATCGTTTTAGTTTTATTGGACATTTTGTAATTTTATATACATTATATCATACAAGATTATAATAGTTAAAATTGTTATTAAAAAAAAAATAAAATTTATTTTTTCAGGGTATATAAAATAATAAAATATTAGTTACCCCAAGATTTCGTTGTAAAATTGCAGCAGTTGTTTCACTTGGATGTTTAGTATATTCTAAAACCGCTGATATGAACGTTCTTATGGGTTGATATTTCTCCATTGTGTTTAACTGATGTTTTATGAATAATAAAATTTCGATTTTGTATAAACCAAAATGAAATTAAAATTGATAAGCACAGAAAATGTTTATACGCCAATTACAAACACTTCAATTGACGAGTATTTTTTTTATTAATGAAATCTCCCGCAAAATAAAATAATGTGTACATGTGTGCAAATACAATAATATAAATGACTCTTATTTATATATTCAAAAAATATTAAGCACACGTTCTTTTAACATACATAAACACAATCACAAAGTTAAAAATAAAAAATGTCGTTTCGCGGAAAACCGGTACTTGACGGCCATTTATAAATATTTTATTCGGAATTAACCAATTGAATCAACGTTATCAGTGCATCTAATAGTTATATATGAAATTCCTATACTTTTTATACTTAATATTATTTAATTATTTAATACTGAAATTAAATATAACTAAAATAGACTTATTACATATTTAATAATTAGTTATAAATGGTTGTATTAGTAACTTATTTTTCATATTGGAATTGAAGAAATAAATAAAATAATATTTTTTATTAATGTTTATCATTATTCGAAAATAGTTATTGGTATATAATACCAATATAATTACTTTAGAATAAGCATTTATTTTAATTATAATTTACATCAAGTTTATATTTAAGGAATTAAATAAATATGATACAATTTAAAAAACTAAAATTAGTAGTAATTATTAGCTATTGAAAAGTTACTAGAATCACAATTAAGATATATATGATAATTTGAATTAGTAACAAAGTATTGTATTACAAAATGTGTTCCTTAAGTTTTTTATTAAATATATAATTTTATTCTTTATCGAATCTTTAGTAACAAATTTTTATTATAAGTTTTATATATAATGTCTAATAATTATTTTATTGAATATTTTTTATATTATAGAAAATCAAATTTAAAATAAAAATTCTACAACTATTTAAAATAAGATTCTATATATTGAAATTTATTCCCATTAAACTAAAAGTCATAAAGAATGTATGAACTATATTATATTACTAGAGATGAAAATTGAAATTTTTTTATTACGTGTAGAGAACTATGTACTGTGAAACCAAAATAATGTTATTGGTCAGCAGTGGCGCCGTTCTCTGGTCATGTTCATTGAAATGCGCCATTTCCGATTCGAGGAAAAAGAAAACGACATTGAAGAAAGGTACTCTTGAAGGATCGTCTGAAATTGAAATCTGTTCAACATTTCTTCATAATTTCACGTACGATAGCTGGTAATTGACTGACTCACTGATTGATCAGTGATAAACTTTTGCGTGATCGTGACTTTCGGATTTGACGTTGTAAATGAGTGTCGCAGCACTGTGTGTACCGTGTGCGTGATTCGGACCTAAATCTTGGTTCTTTTTAGTGCGATCAACTTCGATTCAAAATTTAGTTGTATTAGGTTGCAAAGACATCGATACCATTCGCCTTATCGGAAAAGTGCCATTTGGAACAGTTATTATTTGGCGACAGTGGCAAAAATATATTCCTCAAACAGAAAAAGAGGAATGTGAAAAAATCAACAAGCTTCGTAGAGTCGTGTATCTGCCTGTGTGTACCAACCGGAGCTGTCATAAATGTACACATTCTATATAGATTGCACGATCTATGCTCGGTTAGTGGGCCGATTTACTGAAGACAAGTGATCGTATCTGACGCGCGGCAGTGAATTGACATTAATCATCGTCGCGCGGTGTTGTGCGCTCATCGACCGTCTAAAGAGCTAGTGCCGCATTCTTATTCGACGGCGAGCTTCCTCACGCAGCAGGTTAAGCATTGAAAATTCGAGTTTTCAATCTTGCTAGGTGCCCTTTTCCTTGCTACTGCTGAAACGCATTTTTAATGTTCTTTTTTTTTACAACCCATCGCGGGTGAGAGAGTTATGTTTATTAAATAGTGTCATCTACGACAGGCACAGAATGTGCTTGATGCTGTATCTACATTTTTCGTCTTTTTATGTGTATTCTATTGCACGAATATCGACAAGATCTTGTGTATCCCAGGATATGCGAATTTTTTAGATTGTGTATTCTTTTTGCCGTTTCTTTCAGTATGTAGGATGCTTTGGCCACCCGATATTTCAGATCTTGCTGACGTTTCACGGGCGGTGACAAGTACTCAGAGCTGTAACTATCGTGGCGCATCGCTTACACCCTTTATTTGCTTCTCTTGTCCTTCCTCTCATTATCTCGAGAGAAAAAGAGACAAAGAAACAGAGAAAAAGAAAGAAATAACATGAATGAATGAGTTCAAGAGAGAAAGATAGAGTGAGAGTGAGTGAAAGAAATGTATCGCAAATGAATAAATGAATGAGAAAGAGATAGATTGAGGGGGGGATAGTGTATCAGTAAACGACGAACGAGACGTAGATTAAGCGAATAAGCAAATAAGAGAAAAGAAGATAGAGTATTAATAAGTGCAAGAAAGAAGGAACGTAAGTGAGCATGTGTGTGATAGAGAAAGGAAGAAAGAAAGAGAGAGGGAATTCGCGCGCGCGTACACAGAATTCTGTCTGTCCTTATCGGTTTCTTTCTTTCGCAGTCCCTATGCACCGCTTTAACGGTTTCTTGTGATTTTTCGATAATGCTATTTCGTCGAAGGTTATGAGGTGTTGGTTACGTAGGATAAGTTTAGGGTGAGTTTGTAGGTATGCAAGTTTGACGCAGATTCATTTTGTTCTAAGTCGCGTAAGCTGTATATATATGTGTGTATGTTTTTTCATTTGGTTGGTCTCTCTCTTAGAAACGTTTTTTTTCTGTCAGCTCGTACCCGGACGAGCTCGCGCGATGCGGACCTGTTTCCTTTTCGTCGCCGCGAGTTACGCGAATCTCGTGATTGCCGTGAAGTTGCTGCGTTTAGTCATTGTGTTACCAATTCTCACTGTTCATTCTTCGTTAAAACAGACTAAACATTATCATTTGGGGAGTCTGTTTGGTTTTATCAATTGTAACATTATCGCGAAGTAGCACCGGATTGTTCAATTCATCAAGACTTACTTCGCAAACTAATTGGATAATGTAATTAACAGAGTTCCTGTTTTAATGGGTTAAACCGCATACGCTATTATTTTTCGTTGGTTTTACCTACTATATTTTTCATTCGTAAGTGGCTCATAGAAAATAATCAGCGAAGTAGAGAATCAAATTTTACATACATATTTGTATAAGTCAATAGCCATGTTTTTCCTTTCAAAATTTGTTAAAAATTTATGTTTTACAGACTTTCACAAAGTGATTGCAATTTAGCTCTTCATTTATCTGTTTATTTGCATTCTGAAGCCTTTTGTATGCAAAGATACACCTTTCTTGTTATTTTACTTTTGTATTACATTTTTGTCGAGTTTACATATAATGCGTTTTAACAGTGCTAACCTTTTTCATAATTAATGTTTTTTTTTCTTAATTCTCAGTTAATGTTATAAAGCTTGATACAATATTTTGCTGTATTTAATTTTACTGTAAACAAAATATTACAAAATTCTTTTATATATTATGTGTGATGAAATTTTATTTAAAATTTTTTTTAATATTTTAATGTATCTTGTTGATTAATTTAAATTTATTACACAAATACATATAAATATATATTTTTATTATTTTGTATTTTATCATACATAGTAACAGAAAATAGTAAAACTGGAAGATTGAAATATTAAAAATACTGAGAGAATTTAATCTAAATGTAATTTTGTATAGTAATTTTTTACATTAACATCACATACATAAACATCATTTCTTTTTATTATGTTTAATACCACTGTGAATAGATTTATGATTTTGGATTAGTTTTAAAAGTTAAGTATTTATAAACTATAATAGTTATAAATAATAAATAAATAAGTATAGTTAATTATTATATTAACTATACTTTACTTTCTTTTGAAATCAAGTATAATTGTGTTATAAAAATAATTTATTGTTATATTATAGCATTCATATTCTTTGAAAGGTTTCTTTTTTGTAGATGAAAACTTACAGATTTTAAACATATTGTTTGTTTAATAATTCTAATATTAAGAAACCACCATTTTTTGTTTATTGCATTAAAGTATCTTAAAGTTTATAAAAAAAATTTATGATTCATTGTGGACATTCATCATTTCATATTGCTTAAGTTAAAACATTTAGTTAAATGTTGATTACTTAGTATGTAAATGAAAGCCTTATCTATTATATATGGACTTTCAGTATAAATAGACAGTTATCTGCTGATTTAGACATTTAGGCAAGAATAAAAAATTCAAAATTATTTCAGACTTCAAATACTTATTATTTATATAATTTTATGCTGTTATTTATGATAAAAATAATATTATTATTTAAATATTAATTTAGGAATTGTTCTAATAATTTATTATCTCTAGGAAAAAATTTATTATTAGTAAGAAGTTAAATGAATATAAAAAAGTGAAGTTTTATATTTAAATAAATCTTTTTTAAATCGTTTTTTTAAATATAACAATGTACACTTAATATTTTTGAAGGCTGTAACAAAACTCTGAATAAATTAAAATATTTTACAGAAAATTTGTTATACTGTAAAAAGAAGAAAATAATAAAATAGAAATAATAATATAATCTGTGTTACTGTTTGGTATTTTCAAATTAATGTAATTTGTTATTATTAAATATATTAAGTGTACTTTATTACAAGGATAGTTTGTTACAGATTTCAAACTCTTTTAATATATAACATGAAATTCATATCAATAAAAAACACATTTAATATTACATTTAATATTACAATTATAGAGTGATATTTTTTTTAATGTTCACATATTTTTTAAATGTAGGTGATCATGGCTAATCGGGGTACAGCCCAGAGGCCAAATGGTTCAACACATGGGAAGATTTGTCAGTTTAAGTTGGTGCTACTTGGAGAATCTGCTGTGGGAAAATCAAGTCTTGTTCTGAGGTTTGTTAAAGGACAGTTCCATGAATACCAAGAAAGTACTATTGGAGGTATGAATTTTAATAATCTTATAAATATTAACTGTATGAAAATGTTAAAAATTGTAATTAATACAATATACATTTAACTAGATAATATATAATAACAGTATATTATATTTATACTAATATTTTATTTATTTCAGCTGCATTTTTAACACAAACTGTGTGTTTGGATGATACAACTGTAAAGTTTGAGATTTGGGATACAGCAGGACAAGAACGTTATCACAGTCTTGCACCAATGTATTATCGTGGTGCACAGGCAGCCATTGTAGTATATGATATAACAAACCAGGTGGGTAAATTCCCATCAAATTTTATATTTAGTATAATTACAAATATAACATTTCACCTATGCAAAATTATGAAATAAATTATGTACAATTAGGTTAATAATTTTTATTACATCTTTTTAAAATTTTATATTTATACATTCTAAGGTTTATATTAACAAAAGTAGTAATAAGTTTTATTTCATTATCTTTTTGATAGTCATTATGAATTATTTTCTAACTTTTATATTTATTTTTAAATTGTAATTTACATTTGTATAATTTTTATTATTAAAATTACAGGACACATTTGTACGTGCCCAAACGTGGGTAAAGGAATTGCAACGACAAGCCAGTCCAAGTATAGTTATAGCATTAGCTGGAAATAAAGCCGATCTTGCAAATAAGAGAGTTGTAGAATTTGATGAAGCTCAAACTTATGCAGATGAAAATGGCCTTCTCTTTATGGAAACTTCAGCCAAAACAGCAATGAATGTTAATGATATATTTTTAGCAATCGGTAATGTTATTTTATTATGTTTCTTACTATAAAAGATGATATTCTTAATCATATTCTTAATGTTTATTAAATAACTTTTTTAAATAAACTTTGTATAAATTTATTTAGTATATATATATTTTAAAGATGTTTAATTGCATTTTATATTTTATCTAAATAACAGAGAAAGCATCTGGATTTGAAATAGTACCACTTATTAAGTTACATTATATACAATCTGGTAATATATACATGTACAGGGTGTCCCATTTAAGTTGACCCATTTATTAGTTTACTTTACACAGAGTATTTTTCTTGTAATATTTTATCTTAATTTATTTTATTTTAACTAAATAAATTTGTGTTATTATATTGCAGCTAAAAAACTTCCAAAGAATGAACAATCAGGAAGTGCAAGTACAAGTGGTCAAGGTCGTCGATTAGTTGAGACAGAAGGACAAAAGGCAGCAACTGGCAATTGTTGCAAGTGATTATCCAAATCTGTATGTGTCAAATACTATGTTGGTATATGTTTTTTTGTTTTCTTGTTCTTTTTTTTGTTTTTGTTTTTTTTTTTTTTTTTTTTAA